TGCCGTGAACTGTGCACAAAGATACTATTTCAAATTGCCGGTTTCTTCCTTTGCCTGGAATTTGTACACATTTTATAAAAAAAAAAGAGAAATATTGGTACATGACTGATTCCTAACTTTTCAGAACAGATCAAAATACAGTTCTTAATAAAGAGGAATAAATTTTGTTTCCCTATCCATGCAAGCTACCATCCCCTTTTTTACATTTGGGAAGAGCTGAGCGGAGAGAGGGTAATTATTTTTTGTCAGAAGTTGGTGACTTGTTATGATAAACTGAAGGATAGAAAGATCTGGATACAGGAAACAACACTGTACTCTGCCACTGTTGTGTTTTTCAGGCACTACTGACTTCATTGGCTACACTGATAGAATGATTGCAGAGTGAAAAAGTGGATCTTAGTCCTAAAGTGACCAGGACAGTTTGCTTCCTTCATCTTCCCCATTCCTATAAATGTGACTAATTGTGGTGAAGCAGGTTCACAACCCGCCGAATGAAATGAAGCACAATGACACACAAGAGTAAGATGTCCTGTTTCTCTGTGTAAACAAGGATTAAATGCTGGTTTTAACTACAAGATGGCTTTATTGCTCCCATTTGTTTTATGGATTCTCTACCACCCATTACTTAATTAAACTGAAAACACAAGCCTGGCTTTATCATTAGTCAGCCTGTGAACAATCATTAGGTGTCACTGAAACAGCTCTTCGTGTGGTTAGACAAACCTTCACTTTGGGGTAGGATAAGAATTGCTTATTGGATTTGGCTTGGCTATCCTGAAATCGATGTGTTCTGTCAGACCCTGAACAGCACACTTCTGCATGATATATGGAATATAAAATATAGGTTGAGTGGGCCTGGTTTGCTATTGCATTTCATCAGCGTCATAAACATACACTAGGGCAAAACCAGAGTCACACACAGTTGAATCAGCCTCCTTGTGCCCCAGGGAAATACCCTGCTTTTTTGCAAAAATCTTTCCACAGAAAGCTTTCTACATGATATCATCATATTTATCCTTACTGGCACTCTTTAACCCTTTCTTCTGTGGCCAATATCCAGTAACAGAGGAGTTCTTTGATGACATTGGCCATTGTAGTACACTTTTCCCTTCTTTCTTTTTCAAGGGTTTGAGTTTGTGTCTCTGTGGCTTTTTTTTTTTTAAATTCCGCCCTGAAAACAATTTCATCTCGTTCAGTGGAGTCACTGTAATTTTTGCTCATGCTTTAAGGTTCGTCCATCTCTCCCAGCATTTTCCATCTAGGAAGCCAGAATCTGAGATCTCTCCTGTGTTTAATTTAGTCAGCCTTTCAGATTAGCTCACCACTGCCCGTGTGTATGAGGGAGCAAATGAAACTGAGCACGAGCTTCATGATTGCTACTTACCTAACAAGATTGGTTTTCAAATTTTCTGTAAGAACAACAAATTTGGCTTAGTGAAAACATTTTATCCTTGTAAAAGTCTCTACAGACATTGAGAAAAAGAGCAAATAAGCCGGAAAGCTTTGAGGATGAAAAAGGTATCCAGAACATAGGTTTTCTGCTAGGAGAGTTCCCAGGTGACAGGCAACTTGGGCTTGTTCAGCTATTTCTGAGACAGGCACAGCTTGCTGAGTCAGTGCTCATTGAGTGTCCTCCAAGAATGAATTAAAAGCGGTGAAGAATATGCTTTGCTTCCTCAGTAGGATTTTTTTTTTTTTCCCTGAAACTGTTTTGAGCAGCTTTGGCCGGAGGAAATGGAGACAACTGCCATTATCACATAAAAACAAGACTACTTCCTCCGGGACAAAAGCCACAGGTATATGGGTCAAAATGGCAGCTGGAGGTCTTTTCAAACACATGAGGTTTTAATAGGCAGACTTGGAATAATTGCATAAGGTTTGTACCAGACCACCTGGAAGCAAGCTTCAGCTGTTTACCAATAAGGATAAAGCACCTCTGCCTAACCTTTCTTGTTACAGGAATTTTACACAGCTTGATTTAATCCGGGCTGAGATAACAAGCCTCAGATATGAGGTTCTCAGGAGACTTTGTTCAGCTGATTTTCCAAATAAGCTCTGTACTTTTAATATTGTTGTAAATGCACGTTAATTACCCAGGAACCTTAGACGTATTTGGTAAAGCTGGTTGTCACAGCAGTTGTTGCCGTGCTACATGCTCTGTTCTGCATTTAGCTTTTTGGTATGGTAATATTACAAATTAGCATACTCACTGTGGGGAGAAAAGAAACAACCCACCAAGTCTCTTTCTTCCTAATATGGTGAAATAAAAAGCCTTGGTTTGAGCTCGCTGAAGTGCTGATGGAGTCAAAGCCCGAGGATCAGTCTGGTGTGGTGCGTGAAGAGCACAAGGGTCGTGGTCAAGATTCACACTGGGAGGGCAGGAAATGTTTAAATTCCCTGACCGTGACTAAACGATGGGAGCCAGTGATGCTATCGGGGAAAATGCCCTCTTCTCATCCCAGCACGTGTTCGATTCCAGACCAGCGAGAACGTTTCTTCCTACGACTGCTGGTGTGGGAACTCTGGGCTGTGCTATATAGCAGATGTAGGGACTTATTTTTCACAAAGGTTTGTACTAAGCAGGGATATGAATTGCTCAATGGGCAGCAGCGTGGGGGTCTCAGGCAGAGCCCCGAGCTGAAGAGGAGGAGGCCGGGGAGGGAGAGGCTGCGGCCTGGTGACGGGCACCCGCTGCACGCCTGAGACCAGGCCTTGGCGTCTCTCTCTGCCTGTACAGCGCCTGGTGAAAAGGGGCCCCAAATGCCTTTAGAGTGCCAGGAAGTTTTGCCTTTTTCCTTATTTGTGTTCATTATCACCTTTTAAACAAAAGAGCGCAGCTTTTCACAGCAGTAAGCAATTGGCTGGCGGGAGCTGTTTCCCCCGTCCCCACCAGCTGCCAGCTGAAGAGGAGGGGTTCTCTGGCCGCTTCTCAGGGGTTCTGCTGCTGCTGGTCAAAAACTCTGCTCGGGGATGCTTGGCTCAGTATTAACTCATGATATTTAAGCCCTGTGACACTTGCATTTTTTTTTCCTTGCTGATGCTGATGCAGGGAAGAGAGAGAGGTGAATCCATAAAAAAACAGAGCCTGACACATCCAGATACATGATTCCAGTAATTATGATTTACCAGGTACCCCAGTCATCTGAGGCTTTGCGAACAAAAGCCGACTGAAATGCTCGCGTCTCCCCAGAGGGAGAGCTACATGGAAGACACTCAAATAGCTTTAACCACACTTGTGTCACAAATTCTTCTCGGATTTGGTGACTGTGGCTTGTTCTAATTAAAACAATAACAGTTTCAGTGCTGTGTTTAAATGCAAACAATCGCTTGCTGTTTATGAGGAAAAAAAGGATAGAAACACTGAAGATGATAGCACTTCTCTTCCTGGAGGACATGTGTCTCCACAGCACCATAGTACATTTTCTTCTGCTGAAATATTCTCACCCATAAGAAAGCTTTGCTTACCAGCAGCTGACCAAGAGCACATGGGCAGGTTTGGCAGCTGAATCGTCTGTACGATACCTCCCTGTGTTCAAAAAGGAGCAAAGGCCTGAGCTTTGCCTTTTTAAATCACTGATAATGTCCACAGCTGGATTTGTTGTGCTCCATCGTTTCCACCGCAGCTCCCCAACCCGGGGCTCAGACCTAACCCAGAAAGAGCTGCCTGGGACCACCCAGACGAAGCGAGGAGGCTCCGGGGACCTCAGGGAAGCAGCCAGCCCTTCGCTGACGAGGGGGCATGCAGCAGAGGCCGCAGCACAAAGGGGGAAAAGCACGTCCAGTCAGCTTTATTAAATAATATGTTGTTTATTCATCCATTGCAAAAACTTTGACAAAGAGGGAAATACTGAAAAGGAAGTATCTTTTTTTTTAGTGGAGTAAAAGTGCTGCCTGTGGTTTTAAACAAAGGCCTGTTGGCAGGATGATGCCATAAAGAAAAGGAAGAGAAAGGGAAACTGCATTTGAATTAATTCAGATAAGTGAAGGCCAGAAGACCTTATGACAGAATTTTCCATTAATTCCTGTAGTCTAGCTCTCTGCCATAATTACGGTACCTCCTGACTCCTTTGTACAAATATTGTTGTGGTTATTATTACTGCTTACTGTAACTACTGTAATTACACTTACAAAAGCTGCTTACAGTATTGCAATTGTAATAATGCGAAAGAGCAAAGTCAGACAAGACTTTTGTGGTGGGTATTTTATAAGATTTTGCATGAACTTGTGTAACTGTCTTCAGCTGCAAGAATTTACAGTGGGAAAAGACAAGAACAAAGGAATAAGGAACAAACTTCTTTGTTTCAATTCCATCACTGTATTGAATCGTAACTTGAAATTTGTTTTTTAGTGAAACATAATTTTTTTTGAACCCATGATCAAAACCTTCCAAAACATACTATTTCATTTCAAAGACAGATTTTGTTAAGATTTCATTTATTTTAATTTCATTTAAAAAATGTATTATTTTTAAAGGATTTTCAAATAAAAAGTAATTATTCTTCTGAATTAAAATATTTCAAGTTTTTAATTTTTTTTCTGGAGCCAACATGAGTTTGTAAAATATTTCAGGGTTCCCAAATCTGATTATTTTTTCCCAAAGAAGTTTGCACTAAAGCATTTCAGCCAGTAAGCAAAACAGAAAGGGATAGAAAGAGAAACTGAGGCACAAAGAAGTTAAAATACTTTTCCAGTGTCTCATTAGATGAGTATCAGTGTTAGAAATAGAAATTGCATCTCCTGAGTTCCCCTCTATGGTGTAAAACACTAAAGGATGTTAAAGCGATAAATTATTAGATGCAAAATAAATTTTCAGCCATAGCTGTTATGAGCAACAGAGATCATGAAGACCACCAGAACTGTGCACTTTGCCTCCAACATCTTGTTCCCTGCTCCCTGGTACAGGCACAGTTGAAGCCCTAGTTGCGTGCTTTGTCTGCATGGTACAAGTTAACATGATAGAAAGATAGAGTATTTTTATTTTCATCTCTAACTCTTTTCAGAAAGTCTCTCCCTCGTTGTCGAAGAATTAACAGGATGCTTTCCAATGAGTCAGCACCTCCTCCTGCATTCAGTCGCTCCAACTCACAAGCCTCCATGGACAGTACCTCCATGGAGGACTTCTGGTGCGAAGTGGAGAGCATCAAGGAGAGCAGTGAAGATGGATCTGAAGAAGCAACGCTCTTGGAGTTCAAACCTGCTGATGGTGAGCACACGAACACCACTTCTTCCTCACACCTTGGCTTTGCCTTGTCTCTTTAGTGATGCCCTGGTCTCCTTCCTACTGTCATCCAGTATAAGCAAAAGTGCTAGGCTGAGTCTATCTATGATCATTGTATCTCTACTTCTGAACATCACAGTCAATGTACGAGATATCGCTGGAGAGAAACAATAATTCAATCTGGTTTAGGCACTGGGGCTGGTAATTGACTTCTGAAGTAGATTTTTTTGCACCAATTTTATATGTACTTCAGGAGGACAGATACGGTGTAATTCAAAAAAGAGAGGCACTAAATGAAAACTTAATCTCCAGCATTAAATAAAATAAACCAAAACATATAAAAGGACCAAAAAGTTCATTTAGTAATCTAGAATTTTCAAATTTCTGGCTTTCGTAGGATATAATGCAGAAGTCATGAAAGTCTTGAAGCAGTTTTTGGTTAGATATCGTTTGCTGCTATCAGAAATTTGACAACTGCCTGTTTCTCTGGGATTGCCCAATTCAGATATAATTCAAGGAAATACTAGAGATAAATCTGAATATATGGACGCCTACATCATTCAGACTCCCCACTTGTCAAAATTCATTCATCACTTATACAAATCATGCTGAAGGTATTACTACCTCATTCTGTTACCTTAACGTTTCCCCCTCTCCTTTTTCGTAATGTATTTGGAAGAACATGTAATAGTCTCCACTAGCTTGATGCAACGCAGCTTTGTGTTAGATGACTTGATAACATCTAGAACAGCAGTTCTCATTTTTTTTTCCAATTATGACCCGACTTACAAGTGCATTATGTTGTGCAACACAAAATATCAGGTGTTACTATAGGATGAAACCGAATTTCTTTTGAGGTCATGACCCACTGATAACTGCTGCAACCCTTTTGTGGATCATGGCCACTAGTCTGGTAACTACTGATCTAGGGATAGATTTTGAAACAATGTTGTGTTCTTTCCATCCAATTATTAACGTGAGTGACGATGTATTTTTCTTACCTTGACATGCAATGGGACGTCATTAATTCTGCTACCAGGAAGAAGGGTGAAAAGGGGGAAAGGGTGCTACTTTATTAAGCAACCAAATATGTAACCAGTCATGATGAGTATCCCACACAGAGGTATCTAGCTCCATGTACCGTTTCCATGGGGAACACCTCCCACTCACTAGTTCCAGGTAGGGCTCTCCCGGAAGCAAAAGGAGACGACCTCCGTTCACCAGAAGTCTCGGTCTGCTATGAGGGTTATGGTCTGGCAGCTTAAATCCAAACTGCACTTTTTTGTGCTGGCCTTTGGTCTCAAATAAAAATAAATCAAGGTGTAACATTGAAACTTTATGGCTATTGTTACAGGAAGGCAGAAAAGCAATCTGCCTCAGTTTGGCCTTATTGGGAAAATTCCTGTCTGACTATGCTGTCCAGCTTGGAGACCCCAGAAAGAGATTGTGAATCTGTCGGTGTCTCCTTCATGCAATTGTCAGCGTGAACTGGGTGTCCCTGACTTGTCTGCACGGTCAGGGGAATGTCACATAGCTGTGAGTTACCAACCTGGATAAGTTAGTAGGCCAAAGCAATACAGGAGCCCATTTTCCATGTTCTCAGAAACTTTTCCATCAGTTTCATCACTGCTGAGCTAAATCTTCACAACAGTGCAAATTCTGCTGTGGTCCCATGTTACCCTTTGTCTGATTACACCTCATTACATTGCATTGATTTTTTTCCCTCTGACCTGAATTAAAAATGAGACTGCAAGGTAAAATGCAATACATCTCCACACTTCATTTACCTTCATACTGTTGTTTTAAACACACATATATTGCATACACCCACACACAACCAGGCAGTGCTTGTTCTAGTTATTAACTTCAGGAATATATTCAGTCTGGGATTATAAATCTTGGAAATAATAGTGAGTTCTATTAAGCTCCTAATAAGATAACACTCCTTGCTGAGGATCAAAACACTGAAAATCAATGTGGAAGTCCTCAGGACAAAATAAAAACAGATATTCGTCACCCTTTTCAGATGTCTTTGAGAGGAAGAGATGCAGAATCCTTAAGAAGGAAGCCAAAGGATGATAGCAGCCAGGCACCACTGATACTGTCGAAACCACAAAGCTGTTTTTTGCCAGACCACACGTGCAAGGGGAAGCCATCAGCACACTTACTCTGTTGACGTTAGTAACTACGGTCAATAAAGAACAGAAGATCATAACAAGTGATACAAGGGATGAAAATGTAGGGGAAGAGGAAGCCATGGGGTATTTAAGATGGCAGTGATGTGCAGAACTGCTTTAACACTTGGTGTTACAAGGCTGGGATGCTGTAAGTTATTTGAGGTTATATCTGAAATTCAAAGAAAGGCACCTCTTTCCTAGCAATCTCTATGAGAAAAAGAGGATTACCAACCAGAGGGAACCCTCTTGATTATCTGTTTGTCTTCTGGTGGAGCAAAATCAAACACAGTATCAAGACCCTGCTGTATAAGTGGCTACCATATAAAAATAACGTTTTGTAAAACATGTTTTTCTTTTAGCCCTTATTTAAACCTATGTGTCATAAAATTTTGAGGGTTTTTTATGCAGAAATTCCTTCTCTTTAATAGTTTTACTCCTCTGGTTGTTGTCGTTATTTCTTAGTCTATTGTTTGTGAGTGGTTGGAACAGGAAAAGGGCAAACGCCAGAGAAAACAAATCACAGGGGTGGCTGGTAAGCAGGCACAATTTCATGTCTGCTTTACTATTTTTCATAGCATCATGAAAGCCAAGTTCAATTAAAAACTAAATTCTTGGAAAGAATACGTCAGGACAAAAGCCAAAATGAATATAATTAAGAAACTAGAACACGAATGTATGTGGCTAGAACAGCGGCACATGGAAATGAAAAGAGACCTTGTTAGAAAGAAGAGTGAGGACGGCAGAAGAACCATTGGTTCAAGAAGGGAAAGGAACAGCCTGTCATCCTATCTGTGGATACAGAAAGGATCAGAGTGGAGACAAGCTGTTTCACGGGATACATCCCGTGGTCACATCCCATCTTACACAGAGCAGGGGTTTTAGAACCAGATATTTTTTGTAGAGCTTTGTAAAAAGACAAGGCAGTTAACAATGAAGTCAGTGAAGGCACATGTGTAAGATGCTTTCACTTGTCCCTACAGTCCAGCCCTGTAATTTTCTTTTTTGTGTATCTAACTGCCAATGTGCAGCAAACTGGTATCTATCAATCTGCCTGCATACTGGTGTCAAGAAGAGGCAATAAAGGGAAAGTGGAAATACCAACCTGCCATTAGGACCAGTGCTGGGACAAGAACAATAAGTGCATTGACTAGTTGTTTTATAGAACATGCTGCAAATTAATCCATTTCCTGTTTGACATGTTTATTTGTAATACCTCCTCTTCAGCCAAAGCTGGAATGCAATTATTGTCTTGTCGCAAACAGCGTATGGCTGAGCTAGGATTGTTCACAGCCAGAATTAAAATGAAGGCCCTCAAAATCTCCTATGTGAAGAGAGATTTTAAAAGACTGTGACTCTTTACTTTAAAAAGCAGACAAATAAAAAGGCAATGACAGCAAAATTTAAAATTACTAAATGATTTAGAGAAGGTAGATTGGGAGCTTCTCCCTGTCCTACAGTGACCGGGGATATTCATTTAATGTACCAGCTAGCAAGCTGAAATCTGAGGAAAGAAAATACTTTTTCACATGGTGCATAATCTCACTTTGGAACCAGTTGCTGTGTTGAACCATTTGGAAAACAGGTTTTGAACAGGATTCAAGAAGGTATTAGTCACTAATCACCCTGGGTATAGAGTGCTAGACAGTCTTTAATTATTAGAATTCAGGATGATACCTAGCACGCAAGGGTAGCTATTTCCACATCTTCCACCCCTACCAGACCTCCTTGATACCCACCACTACTTGACCTTTTCTCTTTAGTGAGTGGCTCTGGCTCTTAACCATCTTGTCCATGGATTAGGTGGACATCACACTTCTGTCAGTGTAGCATCTTCGCTAGGTGTCTGATTACCAGCTGACTCCCTGGCATCTCAAATCTCATCCTTAGTGTGCAAACACATTATTCTATTGTATACACCACTTCAGTATTTTTGCTTATTTTAATTGCAATACAAATTTAATTTCTACCTGCCAAATGGCTTCACCCGGTACAATGTGGTTGTCATGGTTTAACCCCAGCCGGCAACTAAGCACCACGCAGCCGCTCGCTCACTCCCCCCCGGTAGGAGGGAGGAGAGAATCGGAGGGTAAAAGTGAGAAAACTCATGGGTTGAGATAAAGACAGTTTAATAGGGAAAGCAAAAGTTGCCCCCACAAGCAAAGCAAAACAAGGAATTCATTCACTGCTTCCCATCGGCAGGCAGGTGTTCAGCCATCTCCAGGAAAGCGGGGCTCCATCACACATAACGGTTACTTGGGAAGACAAACGCCATCGCTCCGAATGTCCCCCCTTCCTTCTTCTTCCTCCAGCTTTACATACTGAGCATGACATCACATTGGCCAGTTGGGGTCAGCTGTCCTGGCTGTTTCCCCTCCCAGATTCTCACCTGGCAGAGCATGGGAAGCTGAAAAGTCCTTGACTAGCGTAAACACTTCTTAGCAACAACTAAAACATCAGTGCATTATCAACATTATTCTCATACTAAATCCAAAACACAGCACTATATCAACTACCGGGAAGAAAATTAGCTCTATTCCAGGCAAAACCAGGACAGTGGTATAAATGGTAACCGAGGGAATTTATTCTCTTGAATGAGGGGTTAGTTTATAGCGACCTTGCTGTGTCAGACTAGGCACCCTATTGCCTTCTTCACACAAGTGTGTTGATGCACAGGTTAAAAATATCTCTTCTGCTCTTCTCCTAAGCCTCTCGTGTGCAGAGACTGTCAAAATGAAAGTTGACAGTATGTTGACAAAACTAAATTAACTTACACTTGTGGCCTAAGAAAGATTGGAAGTGGAGGCTTCCAAGATAAAGGCTAAGGCAGCAGTCCACCGTGCCACCTCCCTTCCTTCAGCCCCCTCTCCCTCCTGTGCCAGGCCTGGTAACCCGTTCTCTTCTTCTGCAGAAGGGGAGCTGGAGGCAGAATGGCTGCAAGATGTAGGTTTATCTACGTTGATCTCGGGAGCTGAAGAGGAGGACGGCCAAGCCCTGCTGTCCACTCTGACCCGAACTCAAGCTGCCGCCGTACAGAAGAGGTACAACACCTACACTCAGACCCTGAGGAAGAAGAACAAGCACACAGTCCGGGATGTGCGAGACATCTTTGGCACCAATGACTCTTCTGTAAGTAGCCAATACACCCTAGTGAATGCTTTTGAGCTTAATTTTTATGCATTTTGCAAGTAGCTCATCAAAGCTTCTACCCGTGTCTGCTGACAACGTACAGACAGCCAGTAGCAGTACCTGACGCTAAGTCCAGACTTTCAATGCTGTATTTACTGCATTTTGACAGGAAAGAAAGAAACCAAATAAAATAGATGGTGCACAGTTTTGCAACTAGCCTGTAACATAATGTTGTATCTGTTGCCAGCCTTCCTCCTGCAATCTCCTATCAAGACTAACGTTTACTCCTTTATTTTTTGGAAATTGGTGAGTTACTTTTGGCAGCTATTCAAATTTTTGCTGGCTTCTGGGGACACTTGCTATTTACAGCAGTCTCAGCGGTGAAGTAAAACTTCTCTAATGAAGCAACTGGGGTTCAAATATGCATAAACAATTAAACACCTGCCGGCATGATTGCAACTGGTACACTGGCAGTTACATTTCACTTACATAGCAAATGAAAATCTATTAACTGTTCATTTGCTTCATGGCTTCAGAAATGAGCTTTGCCTCTGGTGGTTTCATCCACTTTTCCCTGAGGATAGCTCTAAACTCACCAATTCTTATCCCTACACATTTTGGTTTTGGTGAATGCAGTCAACTGTGTGAGTTTAGTCCAATGCTCAAAGCAACACACATGACTCTACATATGTCACTCATGATATCTTAAATGGGAGTCACCAATAAGCTCATAAGCTCAAATTAATATTAAATTTTTTGCCGTTACAAAACTCCAAGAAACTCTTTTTCATTATGAAATTGCTTTGTCCTTTTCTATTTGTCCTACCTTCTCTTCAAGGCTTGGCATCCTGGATGAATTTAAAACAAAAAATTGGGAAACAAAATTGTAGCTGCATAGTCACATTAAAACTACAAAGATATAATGGTTAGGGAGTTAACTTATTTGTCTCCAGTTTAAGTATCTGGGGTCTTTTGAACCTCTTGCACATATCGCAGAAATATATCCAGAAGCATCCAGTAGTTTCCTGTGGGCAGACTTCCTTGCATGAGAAATCCTCAGGCATGTTTGCATGAACATTAAAAAGCTAATGGCTTTTCTTATTAGATTAGCACACTTCTCCTGTTTCAAGTATCTGTGAACCTTAATGTGCTTAAAATTTTTAAAAATTTTTAAAAATTATAATAAAGCTTGAGTTTCCTAATAAATTTCAAACAGCCAAATAAATGTTGTACCCATTCTCTTGGATGGGCACATTATTGATCTGGTTTTGACCTGCTTATTTTTCACCTCTGTTTCTCACTTGCTAAAGGAATCAGGAGTTTCAGGGCCATTGCCCTTCAAATCATTGTTTTACCTCCTCTGAAATTCAGCTCACTTACTATTTCTGCATTGTGAAAGTCTGAAAGATAAGACTGGAAAAGTAATTAAGACTTCTAATTCTTCTTCCCACAAAAATATGCAGTTCTGCAGGGTGCTTACCTAAATGTTAAACACAGATACACAAACACAGCTGCAGAGCCCCCCATCACCTCCCTCCAACAGACTGCAAAACAGTATTTCTAAAAGCCTGCAAGGTTCCCAATCTGTTGCTCCTATCTCTGCTGCTTATTATGGGATTTAGAAAGTCCATCCTAATTATCAGCTCCTCAGGGACAGATGCATTGCAGGGAGGGTGCTGGCCCTAAGCTGAGGGTTTCCTGAGCTGCCCTTTGGAAGGGGGTGTCAGCGGCAGCAGCCCCTCACACTCTGCTGCCTCTTTGGGCATGGCACTACAGCTATCGGTGAATCTTTGTGATGAATCAGTTTAGGAAAGTGATCTGGAATAAAACCCACCCAGCCAAAAAAGAAAAGCAACAGGGAACAGGGAGGGGCAAATTTTTTCAGCACAGCTGCTGAAGAGAGGCTGGTAAAAAGACTGCTTGAAATGACATGCAGGAGTTTTGCTTTCCCATCCTGCTTTTTAGTTGGGAAGAGAAGAAGTAAATGTGTTGCAAACAGCAAAACAGCTCTAATTGCTTCACCCAACTCTATAATCCTCCCAACAACCTAAGCATTACAGGAGCCTAGAGGGATGGGTCACAGGATGGATTACTCTCTTCCGTGGCTAATGATGAGAGAAAAGGTGATTAGCTCACTAAGGTCACCTGAGATGACATTTAGGGGACCACTGAAGAGGCATAGATAGTTGTCATCCAGAGGGGGGAAAAGAAGAAAAAAAAAAAAAAAGATAGATTTGCCCTAGTTTCTTTTCTCTGTTCTGAAAAAAACTTCTTGCTAGATGTTTTGCTATTACTGCCCACTGGCCAGTGTCTGTGCGGGTCAACACAGAGTAAAGGGTGCTTTTCTCTCATCCTGCCTTGAGGTCCATCCCTCAGGGCAGGAGTGTTCCCTCAATAGCCCAAGTGGACTGAAATGAAAGGAAATGAAGCCATATTTCCTTTTTGGGGAAAATTTTGGTGGGTTGTGGTTTGTTCTTTTTTTTTGTGCTGGCAACACCTGGAAAGGTACTGTGGATCCCAGGGATAAAATGCAGCACCTGTGGTACCTCACACTTCCCATAGTGATGCCTGGGTGGAGCAGCCTGCCCCAGCTGAGGTGCTTCTGCTCTGCTTCAGACAGGCCTACACACAGCAGGTTCGACTGGCAGCCACGCTATGGAGATTTAAATTGGATGGTTTATTAATCACAGTGGCCTGATTTTCCTTACTGCTGGTACCCTGCTGCTTCCATCAGAAGCTGTTGGCTCTGCTAGTGCTAAAAGCCTGGAAAAATCAACAGCAGAATACAAACTGGGGGAGGGGGGGACCCACATTGATTTTATTATTGGAAGGAGGAAATGAAGCATCGTGCTCATTAACAGCCCAACCCTGTACTCCTCAAGAGTTTTAGGAGCATTTTACTTGAGCAATGCATGAGAAAATCATGTCCTAATTAAAGAAGAATCACCAACTAACACAGAGCTATTTGCATGAAAAAAAAAGGCATTTGTGATGACAGTGCTTGGAAATATGAATATATCCAAAGCATGGGCAACTTGCATCCTGACCAGAGTTATAAGGTTATCCTCCTTTGCCTTTATTTCCCCTAGCTGCAGGGCTGACAATAGAATTTGGTTGCTTTGGTGCTCCAATGATTTGTTTTTACATCTTCTACAATAAGGGTAGCTACTAAAGAACTATCTACCTCATCTCCATCTTTTCCTTGCTCCTCTGGTTTCCTCTTCCCATTGGAAATTCCTGTGTACATTGTGCCAGTAAATACTGGGCTCATTTTTAGTATTGGATAATGAGAACTGTCTAATGAATCACTTTCAGTCAGAAATCAGGATATGAGAAGCCTTGCTTTCACTTGGAGCCCCAGCCAAATGAATAAAGCTGTCCCGATTTTGTTAAGGACACAATCTGACTCTTGGCCTTTCACATTCATTAAGACATGAGCTTCCAAAGATTTTTAATCTTCTTTTTTACTAAAGAAACAATCTGGATCTTTAAAATTCATGCATTAAAAAGGTTTTATTCCCAAACTTCCCTTTCTTTGTATCATACTATGCTAAGATTAAAAAAAAGGGTGGGAGGAGGGGTTGTTGGTCCTGTTTGGAAGAGATTTTCACAAAAGAGACAGAGATTTGTCCTCTTGATGCACTCTCCCTGTGCAGTCTGAGAAATGAGACCAAGAATACGATGTTTTATCTATCCTTGATATTGTACATGGTTCATGATATTCAATTGCCACAAGCTAGAGCAGGCTACAGGGTCTTGCAAGCAGTGCCGGGTGTGAGGCAGAGCTGTGCTGTTAGCTCCCCTCCACCAGCTCCACCATGCTTAACAGAACCTGGTTACTGCAGCTGCTTCACTATTGATTTTGTCTGTGTAACAAGGCTGGAAGGATTTTTTCCTTAATAAACTTGACTCACTGTAAATCTGTTCTGAATGCTGTTCGCAGGGTCAGACATTTTGAGCAGTGAAAGTAGATGAGCCAGTTGCTAATGTTTACCATTAATTTCTCCATCTGGATCTTAAGCAGCAGAATAACTACTTTTGTGTTTGATTTTCCCAAACTGCTGAGGCAAGTTTAACTGTCCCCTCCACTTTCATACTCCCACTTGAAATTTATCTCGCTTTTTATGTCCTAAAGGCTTTTGTGTAAATGTTATGGGATTTTATCACACAAGCATCCTACAGTTCTCCTTTTAAAAAAATCAATGGTCCTTACAGTCTTCTGGCAAAGGAAGTCCATGTGACTCAAATCCTGTTTCCTATCAAGTTTGCGGGCCATTGAATGGACTCTCTCAGGAGAGATTTTATTCATGTTACATTTGACTTTGTTACCCAAATAGCTCAGCGGAGAAGATGATTGAATAAAACAACTGCAACATTATTTCAGGCTTCCAATTGGAAGAGCTGCCTGTCTTTTAAATATCTGACATTTTTTAGCAGCCTGAATGCTGCTCCCGTGCATTGGCTACAAACGGGGAAGACAAAATTTCTGCCCTGAGGCATTGCTGCTTGTTGATAAACAGCCAATTTAGCAATTTAAAAGCAATTTAAAGAGTGGCCGTTGTGGGCTCATTGGGGCCCTCAGCTGCAGGTTCAGTCGGAAAGATGGAGGCTGCTCCATCAGGCTTGGGGAGGAGGTAGCAGGTTTGGGAAAGGGAGGGCTCCAAGAACTCCCAGCAAGATGCAAAGGACAGCAGGAAAAAGACAAGTCTAGTTTGGGGCATTGTATTTATTTTCATTGAGTACCCTTCAGAGCATTTTTCAAATTCTTGACCTATTTTTTTTTACCCAAGAACATGCAGATGAGCTGCTATTGCCCTGTGTACACACGCATACTCAGATTTGTCTTATGATGACTCCCAAAACTGCTGAGAACAAGGGCAAAACTCAGCTGCCAAGAAAAGGTGATAGTGCTTGAAAGTCACCCCCTGGGCTTCAGAGCCCCTTCTCTGCTGTGCCACACACGCTTCCCCCATTTTCACATAGTGCAGAATGATTTCTGGAGCAGAAAGAAATGAAGTTGACTATAGAAAAGGTCTTTTTTCCCTCAAAACTGTTTTTGCAGTTCACTGATAAAGTGTTAGTATATAACCTATGGGAGGACATCCATTCATTAATAACTTGCTGGTGCCCAAATCCCGAAAGGCAGTGGACAACCTGATCTCCAACAGGTGCTTGAGAGCAGTGGATGTTCGACGTGTGTCAGAGAGTGCTCAGAAAGATTTGTGGCCAAAGTGATTAAAAGCAAGATGGATTAGAATTTGACAAGGACCTTTTGCTTAGTACAATTACGTACAGCAATTTACTTAGCTAATTTCAGTCATTATATAGGACAGGACTCATTAGCTACAGCGAGCTGCAATATTACTGACCTTAACATGATCCAAATCTGGGGAAGATTAATTCTCAGGCTCGTCTATAAAAAATATACCCTGGCGAATCCCAACAGGTTGTTTAAACTTGGCAAAAGAGTGTAAGCTGAGAATGATACGCTGTTGCTTGAACTGTAGCAGTTTCTGTCCATAGATGTTTACCTTCACTGCAGTCTGATCATTTTTCCTTGCCTATCAGCCCACATTTGAGACAGTTCCAGTGTCACCAGTTCCTTCTAATGGTATCCAGCTTCCTGGGCAGAAGCCAGTTTGGAAATCAGTTAGCTGTGAGTATGCAAACATGTAACCAGTGTTCACTTCCTCCTAGGAAAATGATAGCCAGAAAGATCCTTTTGTGGTTCTGAGGTTAGTCCCCTCTTCTGTGTTGTGGCTGTGCTGCATAGATATTCTTAAAATTATTGTCAGCTTATTGTCATGCAGGAACCAAAGTTTCCCATTTAAGACCGGTGTTGTACAGACACAGACTGCTGCCCTTGAGGCATCGGTGTCTAAAAAGTACTGATCGTTGCAAGGCTGGGAATGTAAAAATAACCTCTAAACAATACGGTGCTGAATTTGTCCAAAATATGTCAGCAGTGCATTTTCTTGTTGCAAATCATGACAAGAAAGATGCATATTTTCTCCACATTTCTTCTCCAGTACTGCAGAAATGATAGCATTAGAAATTTGTCATTTTTCTGGTTCTGCCCTATTATTCCGACCTACTAATGGTGTTATTTTGGACATCCCTTAAACATTTTGCCCTGACAGTGACTGGCAGTGCTAATGAAATTGATAGCTCTGCTCTACTCAGTGTCTGGATAATTGTCAGCAGCCTTCCACGGGAATGTCCATCTTTTATTTTGAAAGCTCTTCCCATCACCATTGTTAACTAAAGGGATATCAATAGGCTTAACTAAAGGGATATCAATACCCGAGTTTCAAAACTAGTCTCTTAGATGTTTACCTCTGGATATAGTGCCACCGACATTTTCCTTCATTGCAAAAACTGTTCATTTCGCTACTCTGCTGACACCTCTGCTCCGCAAGCAGTTGTGCTAGAACAGATGGGGAAGCAAACTTCCAGGGACACTGTGGATGGTCTGTGGTTCCAGTCCAAGGATGGAAAGAGAGATGGAAAACATCTTAAAACAGCTTGGCCATTAGGTAACATCTAAGGCCACAGTTCAGAAGCCACTTAATAACACACTTAGCTTTTTCATACCAGACTTGCAAAACAAAGGTTGGCAAAACTAGGGGCATTGCAAAAATTGTTTACATTGTATCTGTAAATTCAATGAGTCAAAAATCATGGGGCAGGCACATGTTTATAAAACATGTAATGCTTTTTAATTCACTTCCTGATTTCCATGGCTTTTGAATGCACTTGGGTCATGTTAGTAAACTTTTCTCTGCAGTCCTGGGGGCTGAAATTTTACTTCACTTCCAATGAAAATTACGATTCTGTTCCAACTGCGTGAGTCTAGGAGCTGGACCTTAACGGAAAACATAAAATTGTCCTGAGATGTGAGAGATCAGTCATAAAAGTTGGCAACACTGGAACTCATGCATGCTATCACACTTTGGGCTCCATGACAATAGGGTATTTCTGTACTTGATTGTACTGATTTCATAAATTTTCCTTTGGCATCCACTAATTTCAGTAGGTGACTAAATTTTAAAGTAGAACAATAAGTCATTTCACAGTATCTACCAGAAATTCCAGTAGATATAGTCTTTTTCAAACTGGAAGATTGTACATTGTGTCCTGTTTTGGTGCTACACACCTAAACTAGCAACTGTGAGAAATATATGTATGTAAGCATATAAAATATATGCACAATGTCTTATGATTGTAAATAAGTCAACAGTCACCTAAGAAACTGTGTCAACAGACTTTTTCTGTCAGGAATTTTTATTTTTAATTGTTCGTTAGACAAGTGCCAACACAGTTTGCTGGCCCGGGTAGACAAGGATGGAATACAAAAACTTGATAATTCCTGATAAACAGGAAGTTTCAGCTTGACTATCTTTCTCACGAAAAGCAACAAGTTAAATAATCTAAAATGAAAATAGGGATTTTATTTCTAAGGGTTTATTTCCTCCAGACAAAACAGGAACATGCTGTGGTTTACACTGAAATTCCTCTTTGAAGCACTTCCTTTATTACTTTCTCAAGATTTTTGTCATCTTGGTTCAATTTTTTAATGTCTCTGTACTAAATGCAAGCATACATTCAGCATTCATATATAATTTCCCTTATTTTCAGCTAATAGCTGTCTAGACTGCGGACTAGATAAAGGCAGCCCATGTGTAACAGAAGACCTCTCCTATGAGGTCTCTTTCTCAGAATCCATTACAGTCCTTCCAAAAACCCAAGAATGGCCGAAAAACCAGAGGTTCAAAAAGGAAGACTCTGCTTTGCCTGTAAGTTTGTTCTCGACATATTCTCTCAATTGTTTTCTTTAACCCAGTAATTTCCTGCTTTATATCCCCAGCACATTGGAGTCCGTTAAGATATATTAGCTGTCCTTTGCTATGTGTGCTCTATAGAGACCGCCCGCTGTGCCTGCATACCACTTGTGACTGATTCCCAGAGAGGCACCAAAGCTAAACTGGATATCCAAGCCTGGTTTTTACTTGTACCCATCACAGATGAATATTCATAACTCAATCCACAAACGTTGCATCATCCACACATTTTTCACATAGAAATAAAGACCAGTTACTGGCACCGAGACTAGCAATCATTTTCATTACTGGTCTGCTTTCCTACTTTATTCCCCCACAGATTATCTGCCTTTATTAACATATGGATTTAAAATTGCTTCACAGATGAAGGGGGGAAAGCAAGCCTCAGTCCTGCAGCAGTACTGATTGTCTCCAGTCAGTATTCAGTGCAATTATGCTGTAGAAGACACTACCTGAATGGTTAAAAGAAAGTTTATCGTATCATCCAACCAGACATACACTGAGCAGTTGTGTCATCATCTGGTATTATGTCTTGAAGTCAAGGAAGTCAGTTTTCTATTTCCATCAGCCCTCACAACTTCCATTACTGAAAACTGGAGCATTAGGTTTGTGCTTCAGATACCACCTTTTTAGTGAAATATATGAAATAGCTGTAAATTATTTGGAAGCATTTCCTGAATGTTATGATGTCCTGAGGTCCTGAACTAATCCGAAATTGTTGCTATCCACACAGACATTGAATTCTCTGAGAATTATCCATTTGTCCATCTCAGGCACCACCAAGGAAGAAGAACCTGAGATGCAGAAGTAAGCTTCCTTGTTGAAAGGAGGGATAAGACACCAAGTAGATTACAACTGGTGTGAAATCCCTGTGCTTTAGTGTGTCTGGGTTTTTTTGTGGTGGGGATAACTTGGTGTCCTGTGGAGAGTAAGGATATCTCTGCATTCATCATGATTTTGGCAAACCGAAGGTTCATCCTTGCTCCTTGTAATAGCAAACCTAGGACCCCAGCCTTCACTACAACACACACACACACACACAAATTGTTCTCTGCAACAGCTCGGACAATTTCCAGTTGATAAAGCAGGGAAACTGGTGACAAACAGGGAAGAGAAGACGGCATGCATGATTGATTAGTATTAGAAAAGGCCAGTATTGTGCTGGAGATGAACTGTTCTGCATGCAGGATGTAATTTTCTGTGCTTGGAAGAGTACACGAGAAATATGCCAGGTCATCACAGACAGAGACTTTCTGAATAAAATCAACAATCATAGCCGTTGATGTTGGCATTTCTCTTACTTCATATGCTGCCAAACATGTTATTTGTTTTTTCCCATAATAGCTCAGACTGTAATGGGCCCCAGCAAAAAAATCACCTCCTGCTCTGTTACACAGAGCGACCAGTCACCTACACTCTGAAGGTCTGCCCATCCTCCTCAAGGTGGGCCAACAGGGCCAGACTGAAGTCTACACAACATCATACTTTCTCCGGGGCAGGTCTGACACATTAATATAACCAAGTTCATGGATGGCATATACTGACCTGCACAGAGAGAGATTATATATCATGAAATAGCGTGTCCCCTGCAGCTCCCGGAAGAGCCAACTCAACAGCACTGTCTGCGTAAGGTTACGTGCAATTTCCCCAGTGTGGGACCATGATCAACGTGACTTAGTTGAAGATACTACAGAACTAAGAATCTGTAAGCATTTCAGGCCCATCTCAGTGCACTGTATAGTTCCATATAGAAACAACATGTCACACAGTATCAGACACGATCCTTAGCCAAAACGCTAGTAATCTAATTTTAGGATAGCACAGGCTCCTTCAGTGCTGCATATTGTGACTCCACTGTTTGTAAGAAAAATCACTGGAAAATTGTGACACAAGACAGAAGAAAGAGGTCCAGCCCCAAACCTTGTGTTAACACTGCATCACATCATAGTGACCCTATGAGCCAACCAGCCACCATGGAAAATCACTGTAGCTACCTTTTGCAATCGGTTTTGGAGTGTTTGTCATTTTTTCTTGGCAAACATATTTTTTCTCTTTCCCCTCAGAAAATATATGTATACTGTGTGATTTTTTCTTATTTTCAAGATGGTTTATTGTGCTTTGACTGTTTTTGGACTTTTTGCATCACTGGAACCAAAATGCATAGATATTCTTTAGTATTTTATGTGTCTTCAGACATGTAGCTTCTATACTCTGTGTAAATTTTGTTATATTATTAAGTCTCAGCATAAGAGTAACAATGGAATTACTGCATTCTGGGGAGGGAAGACTCTGGCCTAAAATGCCCCAGACAGCATGTAAATTAGTTATTCCATCCCCTGCACTCTTTCTCCCCAGTTATGATTAACCCCTATTGAAAGACCATGTGCAATGTGATTTAGGAAGTCCTAACCTACATGATCTAGATGTCCTTTGTCCTCTCTTACTTTTGAAATCTGGTGTAAGTTTAATTATTTTTTTCTTTGCTTTTTTCTTAATCTGTTTGACTGGCTTCATCTAAAGATGGGTTAAATCTACTGAGTCCAAATTTATTTTAAAAAGGGAGGACTGGGCTGAAATCTCCAGAAGCAAAACATTACTAAAGGCTGGGTTTCCACTACTTCCCTAAAGGGAGGAGATGATTTGTAATGCTATTTATTTATACCTCTGACTAACAGTTACTGGTTTAAATTACAATTAAATTAAAAAACCACACAGTACCAAAGATCCACAGTTCTTTGAAAAGCATGTTTTTTACTATAACTTTGTTATTATGTCTAACAATTATGTCAAAAACTGGTGGGTATTTGTTCTTTTTGACATTTGTACAAATGCTTCTGACATGACGCAACATTCCTGGCTCTGGTCCATGACACTGCAGTCTCTAAAATACGTAGACATCTTCACATGCCCTCAAATTACTAAGTATCATTTAGTTCAAGCCTACTGGAATAAATTCTTTCTTAGCTGCTGGGAGTCCTGTTTCTAAGCCTAAATGCTTCTTGAGTAATAAAAAGTACCAGTAAATTGGCAGGTTGGCATCAGGACTAAGTAATTTTGCTTCTGGGCTTTTCCTCAGGTCTTTAGTTTCAACTCTTCTATAAGACCTCATAAATTTGAACTCTTTCATAAGACCTCATAAATTAACGATTAATTAATTATTAATTAATTAATATGCAAAGCAGGCATGCATTCATTACACACACACACATACGGTTGCATGGATATGCAACACACATATGGTTGCATGGATATGCAACCATATCCATGTTGAAATGTGTCAGCTGCCGAAACTGGGCAAAAGTTTAAGTAGCACGTAGCTCATTTGTCGCAGCTGGAGTACAGGCACTGAGGTTAACACCTCTGCTCCAGCACCACTTACCACTCAAACTGCAAGGGAACATGATGAGCAAGAAGCTCAATTTTATGCTTCAGATGGATGCAAGTTATGTCAACATACCAGGTCAATATATAGGGTTGTAGTTCAGCTCTTCAGTGTTATCCATCTACCCTAATGTGACTTCCTATCACATACGGGCATCTCTTTCAAAACAAAAATTCACGTTCTGTAATTTTTGTGCAAATAAACATGTGACCCATCTCTACTGTAGAAATTCATTGTTCGGAAAAGCCGGTTTGGACTGACAGAGGTTGGAGACCTCTCTCCTGAAGACATGAAGAAGATCCGCTACCTCTCCCTGATTGAGCTGACGGCCTTCTACGATGCACTGGGGGTGGAGCTGAAGAGGAACCGCGCAGAGAGGGTCCGGGGACGAGGTACCGTGCTGTGGCATCCCCATGGGGGCCACCTGGGCGCCGCTCAGCATTGCAAAGGCGGCGCGTACGAGGTTGTGTTTCCTCTTTTTCACATTGGTTGTTATTATTTTTAAGAAAATGGTCTGTTTGGAGTCCCTCTCACCATACTGCTGGAGAATGATCAAAAGAAGGTTCCTGGAATAAAAGTTCCTCTCATATTCCAAAAAGTGAGTATAACTCAGCCTGCTCGGCCACTAAGATTCACATTTCCATCATTTGCATTGACACTTAAAGCAGACATCAGATAAAAGAAGATGTAGGCTTTACAGACTTGAAGGTGTCTACAAGTTGCTGTCTGTATGTTGTGGTTTGAAAACCTCGTGACAAGGAGACAAAATTTGCTCCTTTTGTGTGTTTTATCTGCAGTGGGGACCTCTTTCCATTTTTGTAATTATATGGTACTCTACAGGAAGCCTCAGGAAACAAATGTCTGGCTTTCTGTTTCCCTTTCTCATTAAATTACAGCACCATGCAAAATTGTGTGTCTGTGCAGAAGTGGCAGAGATGAGTTATCTCAGGAGTTTTAATTTCACATTAATTCAAACCATAGGTATTACTTAGCTATTATTTCCAGAATGGAAGTGGTACCTTCTCATGGAGGTTTGTATGACAAGACAACATCACTTATATAAGTTATTTGACAGTACGACATTCAGCGGATGTCTTGGAGACAGGTACACAGATACAAGCACACATGCAATTACACACGTTTACACGGACTTGAAACTACAACAAATTTCCCTGTAAATACTGACAAAAGGGGAAGTGGTGTGGAGTGTCAGGGGAAAGACTGACATGACTTGAATATTTACATGACTTTGCAATCAGCTCCACATCTCTCCTGTCAAGATACCATGGGAAATTAGAAGGATCCAACAGCTAAGGCAGGAAGCAGAGCTGGTGGTGAAAATCCAGAGCTGTATGAATAAATGCTAGGAATTTTTTTTTTCCCCTTGTTCTAAATTATGTTAAATCAAAACATATTTATTTTTTTAAAAAGAATTAGAGTGGAAAGCCTATTCCTCTATTCACAGAAATTTCAAAATAAAATATCCTGGGATCATTTTCTAATCTGAGTTCTCAGTTCCCAGAAACATATGTTATCTATAGACCTTTGCATTGTGCTCCTCAGGGAAAGACTTAAACATTTCTCAGAGGTTAATTTTCCCTCAAAACACCATTGTGTTTTACCCAGTGTATCTGCCCTTTTATTAATACATTTATGTGTTAATTGTTCTATAGCAGTGCCAAGTCTCAAATCAAGGACAGAGGGGCCTATTGCATTATCAGTTTTCCGTACTCTGCATACCCCGTATTTCAGGGTCAGGAATATAGAGGACAAATTAGGAAGGTTTATTTACACAAGCTGGCTTATTTTCATTAGCAAATTACATAGAAATGTATCTTTTTCAAATTAGTTTCAAGGATACCTAGATTGAAAAAAAATTAATAGTATTATTAAGTGCTTCTGAGTATTTTCCTGGGTTTTGTTGGGTTTTTTTCAGCTGCTGCTCAAGCTTGAGGAAACAGGTTTAGAAACCGAAGGAATTCTACGAGTGCCTGGATCTGCCTCCAGAGTCAAGGTACACACTCGTGCCAGTTTTCTGTCTACTGGACCACAGACTCTATGTAAAATAATACAGCACACACAAATTCACACTGCACATAAATACTGATGCGTGTAGCTCAGCATTTCTACTCCTACCAGTGAAAGGTCAGATTGGTTCCTGGGAACCAATAAATCACAGAACATGTGGTCTATTGCTTTGCATTTGTTAATGTTCTATATAAAGCACAGACTTGACGTTGAATGCAGTTTTTCTCCACTAAACATTAAGGGATCCTTTCAGTTTATCTCTGTCGTCCAAAATTGCTATGATGTTATCTCTGGTTTAATTTATTTCAGAAATCCAGAGTTGCTATACTGAGCGAACTTCAGATAAAGATCTTATTCTATGTCATTTTAACCTTCGTGTCATTTTATTTCTCGTTTATCTTCCGTGATCATACAATTTCATGTTCCAAGTGAGAGAAATTTGGCCTGCGTTCCCTGTTTGGCAGCCTCAAGTACTGCATTTTCACAGGCTATTTGCGGGTTATGAACACAGGATAGTTGGTACCCAATAACCTGACATTGTGGTGCACTAATGCTTGCAATTGTTTCTCAGACTAACTTGATTCCAGGAGTTGGAAGCCTTTGGCAGATGCAAATTAGGAAAACAAGTTTTTTCTGGCCTTAGTAGTGTCTACCTCTTTCCCAGATTTTTGTTTTTTTCTGTTGGTTTTTTTTTTTAGTCTGGTTTAAACAACTTCTTATAGTGCATCCCACTCCCACTTTCTCATCCTCAAGAAATCTTTTCTTGCTTTCTGAGGCAGGAAGTCGTGGCAGCCACACAAAGTGTAATGTTGGGATTGCTAAACGTTGATGGGCTGGGGATCATAAAAATAACTGTGCAAGAAAAAGTGGCATTACATGAAAAGCATCAGATGATAGGCAGTAGCATCCCAGCTCCCTTCGACCCTGTGGATTGATAAAAGCTCTCAGCACCTCACAAAGTGCCACATCTTGCAGAAAGGAGCTTCTAATTTGGCCTGCACTTTTCAGCTTCCTCATTTTTCCATACAAATACTTAAAGTATTATTTCACATAATCTCAATTTTTTTCCAACCTCTCCAGGGACATTACACAGCAGGGCTGTGCTCTACCTAATGAAATTACTTTCATATTCTTTTCATACACTGTCTTGTTCACTTCTTATTGACAACCTATATCCAGGGATCTGCTATGAGATATGACTTTATATGTAACTCTCCTACACTGGGTGGTAAGTTAAACTGCCCATATGAAAGTTTTAAATTATTTGAGTTTTGGCTTCATTTAAGTCTGTCCAACAAGCCAACCAGCAAGAGAGATTTTTTCAAAGCAGATCCAGATTTCATCCTTCAAAGCCTTCATACATTATTACAACATTAGGATTTGAGAGCATTCCAATTTTATTTCAGTCTTGTTTGGAGAAAGAAAAGGCATATGGAAGTGATTAAAGGTTACTTTTATATAAAACAAAGAATAGAAGAAATAAATACAAGTTTTCCTCTGTCTGTAATCTGGTTTGTAACAAAAGCTCCAGTGAACCAAAAATGCATGATAGTCTACTGTAGGATCAGTCACATTTAAAAAAAATTGCAAAAAATTTTTCAAAAGTACTTGGGTGCATATACATATATGTATATGGGGGGCTGAGTGTATAAAATATACATATATGCTTGCTTGTGTGGATATATATAAAAAATGTTTATGTTTCAAAAATCTTGCTTTCTATTTCTATGGCTTTTTCCCAGTTCTCAGCAGAAAAATGTGGAGTAGTTTTTCTCTCCCCTTGTGATTTTGATGAGGTGAGGATTTCTGTTCCACATTTCCCAGTCAGTTAGTAGGAGAGAATTTAATCCAGGTGTTTGTATGGATTATGTGTAAAGGATGTGAATACAGAGGAAGCTGAGATAGCCCAGATTACAACCAGTAAAATGTGCTAGTAAAAATGAGATTGTAACATTATATACCAAATCCTGAATGACTTTGTATTTCCTTTTGTGCCAACCGTACCACTTCATTATGTGTGACCATATTTGATACGTAATTTCCTTCCATTCATGTGAGACACAGTAAACAGAATTCATTTTTTAAAGTATTTCTGTCTGAATGGACTAAACTTCTTTGCGTAATATTAAGGTACATTTGACAAAAACATGATCTGAAACCTGAATATTAGCTACAGATACATTTTTTTACAAACGGTCTCACAAAAAGCAGCAACAAACTTCCTATGGATAAGGCAGTGTTTGGCCAGTAATAATTGTGAAAGCTGCATTATTTATGGATATCCTTACGTTACAATAGCCTCCCTCAATCTTATTAACCCAACAAATTTTTGAGGAGCTTGCATTTTCCAAACAGTGATCTGGGTTTGAAGCCAAATTCTGTTCCTACTAGGAACCTTACTGAATATTTCCATTCACACATGTGTGTGAAACATTGATTAGTTACCCTCTAGAACTAAATAGACCTCTGTATAGAGCAAGATGCTGACATTGGAGAACAAGAGGATTAAATGGACACCCAAAAGGGTATAATCAATTCTATCTTAGATCTCTCTTGTGGTTTTTGAGGGGGTTTTTTGGCATTTATTAAGTGGAGGTTTTCTGAAAGTAATGGTTCGATACCTTTATTTTTCTATGAAGTGATCAAATCTAATTATAGCTATCCTAAAAGAAAACATCCTTCTAAAGACAGGAAGACGTGAAGTTAAAGCCATTTGCTCAAGGCCCATGGACTCAGATGCCAACAGATTGTCTAGCAAGTTCACTGGCAGTGAGGAAGAAATGCCACTCCTTTGTGATTTAAGGGTCAAAACCTCTGGAGAGTGTTTTAAACAAAAAGAACAGCTGTGCTAAAAATTCTGTTTAACTGAATTTTCTGTTGCTAGTTCTGACATTGAACAAAATTGCCTTGCTTTAAAATGGTTCAAATGGGTCACTGGCAGAAATCTAGCTATGGCAAACCAAATTTAGCCTAGGTTGCAAAATATCCCCAGGAATCTGATCTGTTAACCTGCTCTGAACTCTGCGTGGCTGTACCTGGACTGCTACTGGTTTAGGGCTACTTTAATTCAACCATGGTGTAAACCTGCCTGTTGTTTGTAATGGGATTTCTGAAGTGATCTCAAACTGCCGGGTCAGAAGCAATGATTAAAGGTCAGATGTTTCTTTTATCTTTCAGAATCTCCATCAAGAACTTGAGGCAAAATTTTATGAAGACGCTTTTGACTGGGACCAAGTACGAAATAATGATGCAGCAGGACTGCTCAAAATGTTTATAAGAGAACTCCCAAGCCCACTCTTCACAGTAGAATATCTGCCTGCTTTCATCACGCTAGTGGAAAGTAGGTGGAAAAGGAGTTAGTATGGATTGATCTAGATAAAATGTAATAGTAGACATTACATTTTTTTTCTCTCTCTGAAGTAGAGGGAAAAAAACATGTCATTTTTTCTCTCTCTGAAGTAGAGAGAAAAAAAGGCCCAGTGCATTGCCTAAACATTTAAACTTCCTGCAAGCTTTCCTTTTCAAATGGAAAAAGTCTCTGCATTTAGCTAATAGCATAGACTCGTTGTGTGAGTGACACAACTGTTTAATGTGAGATTTGAATCTGTGAGCAAACGCTGGCTGAGCAATGACTTTCATATATAGACTCTGATTCACAAAATTATAGATTTCACAAATGAATATTTCTGCAAGGTAAATTCAGGTCACTGCCCTTTAGTTGATATTCTTTTGGAGCTATTTTATTTTTCTTTGGGTTTATGCTGAGGTCAGAATATTCATACAAAGATATATGTGATCACAGAAAGCTTCAGGCAGTCGGGTTTTGTTTTCAGTGTACATACACCCTCTCATTCTCAGTACATTTTGTTCATTTCTCTTCCAGGAAGAACGCAGTAGTACCTTGCAATACCTATTGACTTCATTGTAAATTCACTTGAGCTAGGACAGAGTGAAACTATCAGGATGGTGAATTTATTAGGCAAATTGGTACAGAAAACTTAGAACCTTTATGTAAGGTTGGAGCCAAGTTTTCAGTGCCTCCATGAGGTAGTTTAAAGGGCACAAGGAGGTGACTTGCTCCTTGCAAGTCCCAGACTTCATGCAGTTATGATCGCTTAGCAATTTGGAGAAGACTGAACATGAGGTGTCTGTGCAGCATAAAGTTACTTTATTGCCGCCAACAGATACACTGTCCACACCACTCACTCTTTTTTTCTCCAAACCTCTCTCATCCCCCCTCAGTGAAAGCAAATGACAGAGTTATTCTTCCCATCTTCTCCACCCCAGCTCTTCTAGTGAGCATTGCACAGTATCAATATATACCAATTGCTGAAAACATGATGGTATTTTGTAACTGACAAGGGGCTGTACATTTATCTAGAGTGCTAGGCATAGGACAAATACTTTTTAAGTTATAAGCAATTAATCTCCACTCCAATGGCACAAGCATTCAGCAAATCACTCAATAACAACAGTCTGAAAATTTTCTGAAAACAAATATCCATTTCAGTTTGAAAGGGGGAAAATACTTGATCCATATACAACACATTCTGACCACGTTATCAAAGAGAAACTGGCTAGTACTGAAAAATATTGGCTCCTTTCTATTTAGAAGAATTTTATGGAGCCTTGTCTCCCCCTGTGACAAAGACCCAAGATGATGAGGAAAAATCCATTCATTACAATTGGGTTTATATATGGGAAAAAGATTATGGTGAATAAATATCTAAACATACTAGTCTCAACCAGGCAGTGGTTGCTCTATTTCTAGAACTGCTGACCAACAAGGATTTTAGAACAAACCAATTGTAATTGGGATTTCAAAAACTTAATTATTCATATTCTTAGAAATCTCCAAGATCAAGTTACAGCTACAAGCTTTGCATCTGTTGATCATGCTGCTGCCTGAAGCCAACAGAGACACAGCCAAGGTAAGTTCTTCGTTTGCTAGCACCTGCCATCTGTGGTGCCTTTGACTTTTAAATGAGACACACGTTTTTTTCCTAACAGCCAGTTGATCAGACACTGCACCGTGAAAGTATTCATCTCTGTTTTTTATCATTTCCTTGAAAAGATGTTCCAATCCCCTGGCTGTCATTTATCTTAAAAGCAATTAAGAAATAGTTGCTGGAGGTGCCAGTAAATGGCTCCCAGGCATCATTTATTCTGGAGCACCCACTTCAAAGAGGCCTTGCATAGTTTGGAAAAAGAAGGTCCAGTTTCTGGGTTTTCTGTATAACTGGAATTCTCCGGGATGAAGTTAAATGAGAAGCTGCCCCCCAGGAGCTCGCCTAGTGCACTCCCAGGGCTGAAGGGCTTCCAGGGCACTGGACCAGATTGGAGGAGGTAGTCTGAAGTAAAAACCCCTGAAACGTACATCTGTAGTATGACTGTCAGGGCCTCAGCCTCAGCTGTTTTGCCTTACAAACCCACACCCGCACCCATGTACTACTTCCTGATATAGACACGGTGCCTACAAGCATTTTGGGTGCGTAGGAGCTCACAGATCCGGCTGCAGCTACGTCCTGACCCTAAGAGACACTGGTTGCTTTTTTGGACTTGTTTCCACATAAAGGAAACCTGGGTGAACAAGCTGCCTGGGAGCCCCCAGATATTTCATCAGGTCCCCTGCTCACCAGGACCCTGCAGGTCCCCCACCTCCAAAAGTCTCCCACTGGTCAGTTTAGATATAGCTTTATAAGTCCAGGTGCCTTCTTTACCTGTATTTATTTATACAAGAACAAGGGACAAGAATAACAACCCTCTTTAATGCATTTGGAGGTCTACTAGTGCTCTGTGAAGAATGGGGATTAATTTCTTCTACCAAAGTCCATATTGATATAGAGCAGTATACGTAAAACACATGCTAGATGAATAGTCTTAATTATTACTAGGCTTTTATATGAAAATAGAAGCGATGACAAAACTGAATGCATCTCTACTTGCTATCTATAATGAGATTTTAGAAATTTCTCCAACACAGTTTCTGTTTTGTAATTCCTGGGTTTGTAAAAATGTTTTAATTGCAATGTCAGGGTACAAAGACAGTGGTTTTAATGGTATGGTGTTGCAAAAGGACTCACTGGCAGACCCCAACTCTAACGACAGCTGCAATCCATCCTATTCAGTCACTCAAGCAAAATTCTGAATAAACTGCCCAAAAGGGAAATGAGTTTCCTTTGAGTCTGCCATGCATGTGCAGAAGTGACATCAACGAACAACCACTGAGCGCTTCTTGCTTTCATTATCCCAGAATAAAAGTTTGGGGGTTGCTGGCAGAAATTCCTCAGATTATATCATATATAGGACTGGTGCACATTTGAAGAGAGGCTGATCACCTGGTGACTGCAATATAAAAAGCTTTGGCCAGATACATCAAAATGGACACCTTGAAATCTATGAAATTAACTATTCCATTGCAACACCTTTCTATCTTTCCCCTACTACAGGATTCAGAGCCTTAGTGTAGACACTGTACTTGACTTACAGATTTGGGATTATGCTTTAAGTGACAGTTAATTTATTAATGTGTATTTTGATAACATTAACTGTTCCTCTGTGATTGACACAGGCGGTTGTGCCAGCAAATATCAGAGTAATCCAAATTAGAATGCAAAAAACCCTAAACTTCACCTCCAAGTGCAAATATAGCAGCTTTCGAGCCAGACATGTTGTGCATTTGAAAAGGCTGCATTTAGGAAGTAAACTATTTTGTAAGACTCAGCATAACAAGTGTTGTTTTCCCAGGCCTTTCTTCAGTTCCTGAAGAAGGTGGTTGCTAATGAAGGGAAAAATAAAATGAATTTGTGGAATGTTTCTATGATTGTTGCACCAAACCTCTTCATCTACAAAGGGAAACGCGCAAACCAACAAGAAATGCAAGCAGCCGCCACCACAGCGCACATTGTGCGGCTTTTAATTCGGTACCAGGACATCCTTTGGACAGTGAGTAATGCCGGTTCTCTCTTTATGGCTCCATTACATAGAAATATTTTGCTATATGCAGCAGCTCTGTAGAAATCAGAGTAAACTGACCTTCCTAGAAGAAACAGTTAACTATTCTTTGGAAACTGGCTAGAGTCTTCTATATCTAGAACAAGATAAGGTGACAGATACCTCTGGATGGAGATTTACCTCACCTATCTAAAAGACATCCATTTTAGCACGAATTGCCCTCTGGAGGTACCTATCCCACACTATTGTTTATACAGAAGAATGTATAGGAGAATCATTTCATCTAGATGCATAGGTGAGATATCTAAACTTGAATGAGCTTAAATGACTCTTTAAAGTCTAGCCCACAATAATATGGGCCAAAAGTGCATACTACTTGCTGGACTTCTGAAGGTTGGCATGAAGATCTCGAGTCTCAGCCTGTTTCCTCATAACAGAGGGAGGGTGTGAGGGGATTGCAAAGACTACCTCCTAATAAAGTTCCTACAACTGCAAATATCACTAAAAAGTTTCATATGGTACGAAAGATGAGCTACAGTTTCACCAAATGAGTAACTGTGGGTTGTTAGACGGAGCTACTAATTGCATGTATCTTCCGGGGATAAGTAGAGCTTCTGCTGCCTAAAATTTGGTGCCTTTCTAAAGCCCCAACACCAATTCTATGGGGGAAAAATTACTGTATATTCTCAGCTCCAGTTTCCTCCCTTTAGGTCCCATCCTTCCTGATTTCCCAAGTAAGAAAAATGAATGAGGCAGCAATGAACAACAGCAAGAGGCAGCTGATGTTTGACAAAGGAGTGAGAAAACTTCTGAGGAGAAAGACCATGGAACGGGAGAGACCTGAAAGACCAGAGGTGTGATAAAAATATCATTTTCAAGGGCAGCTTTAACCAGCCTCCCTCCTTTCTTACCTCAAAAGCTTTGGCGGGCAGGGAGGAAATTTTACCATACAAAATAAGCTGATTCAGGAGCTATCTTGAAAGATGTGCTTCCCAGTCCAACATCCCGATAAGACAAAGTTTTTGGGATTGATTGAGAAAAGGTGAGGAAGGCAGAATGATTTCTAGCAGCCCAAGTTATAAGCTGTTACAAACACATGCTGGTTTTGTACCTATTTTGTAAGAAAATGGTCATATGTGGACTGTCCTTGAGAGCAATGATCTGTAGATATTCAACAAATGCATGGATCTGTAGTTGAGTAGCAGGATGGTCCATATTAGGATTAATTGCACTTACCCATGCCCTGGTCCAGGCCATTCGATGTTCTCCTTGAAAGCTTTAGTTTTACAGTTTTGCACTAAGTTCCTAAGCAGAGATAAAATCCAGTTTGCCTAACATAGACACCAAAACTAGGTCTAAATTTTAAGCGCCTAATGAAGTAGTTTGTGTTGTTATTCCCCATAAAGTCAGACGAAAGAGGTGGATACATTTGAGGATTTCCAGAGCTCCAGGTGCAGTTTAGACTTAGGAAAGTCTGATACAAAAATCTTCCTTTGGAGGTCTTAAAGCCACCAACTTTTCTCCACTGCTTGGATATGGAGTTTAGGAACTTACTTGAGGTATGCTATTTCAATAGACACCTAAAATTAACTTATGTATTAGGCGTAACATATAATTTGGGCAAAAAAGCATGTTGTGTACACATGCACAAAATATACAGTCCCTATAGCAGCTTATATGTAGCATTTCCATGTAATAACTACCTTTAATAAACTGGAGAGAAAGTCTTTAGAGGTTTAAAAGAATGGAGATTGGTGAATTGTAAGAAGAGTAATCAAAGAACTGGTCAAGAACTTTATAGTTATTGAAGAATAGTCTTGAAGAACAAAAGACAAATTAGGAAGGAGTTATATTAAAAGATCATAAGAAATAGAGAAAAAGCCACCTAATAGAGACAACAGAGAAAATGCAGAAGGGAACATCTGGGAAAAAACAGAAAGAAAAAGGATGTGTATGAATAGTGAATCCATGTTAATTCAGCTTTTTGGAGAATTCATTTGCCAGCATTGACTGAAATATATTGTGGGTAGGACACGCATTTGTGCTGGAGATGGAGACATAGATGTTTGTTTAAAATGGCAATATAGACTACTGTGTTGCAAAACTGTATTCACCCTGGAACAATACAGTGAAAGCTTCTAAGGAGAGTCAATTACTGCAGTCATTGCACCTTCAGGAAGGCAAGTTCATTGATCGTAGTAATGGGCTTTGCATCTAATAAAAACGAGACTAGCCATGGCAGGTAGCTGAAATATGAAGGGTAAATTGGAGGCAAACTCTGTTTGGATAACTGAGTTGAATTTTGAGAGCACTTAACACAATCCCCAGGTCTCAGATGTTCTAAATTACACAGGGACACAGACTGGAGAGACTATTGTACTCTGCTCAGCGTGGTATTAACCGGATTAGAACTGGAATGCAAACCTTGCTAATTGAGTTATCCGCCATTAATCATGGAAGAGTGCATAAACCTCATAGATGATCGTTTGAACCCTACATAAGGTCAAATTTCAAATTAACAGAAACCATATGGTACTTTGATATCTTACTGTACATAAACTTCGATCTAGTTGAAGCTATAGGAAGAGGAAACAGAGAACTGGATCTTCGTGCCTCAGGAGAATTTAATCTTTAAAAAGAAGACCAGATTTTCCTAGTCATTTTTATGTACTTTTAAACAAGCAGTTGGTTCACTGACCAATGTTAACAGAAATAACTTAAAACATCTCAGATAACAACTTGACTCAATATTACTGCAAGCAATCAAAATTCAAGGGCTGTACTTTATTCTGCATGCATTTATGTGATGCCTACCAAGGAGTTTGTGTCTTTGTGTCGTATCTTATTATACCGTATCTATAAATTTGTGTTTGTATGACTGTGAATATGTTTTTTGAATAATTAAGTGAATCCAGGACAGTGATTTTTGCAAGCAACCTCAAAAGAGTTGCAGAACTGCTTCTGAACGGAGCTACAGCAATATTTGCCTTAGACTTACACTACTGAATATTGATTTTAGGGAGCTGTCACTTTTCCTCCATACCTGCAGTCTGACATACCCGAGGGGGTGATAAGAGTTTATGCTCCACTGCATTCAAAAGTCTCTATGGCAATTCAACTCAACAGCCAAACAAAAGCCAAAGACATCCTGGCTCGATTCCACTGTGAAAACAGGTGGGTAAAACAGAACATTTTGTTTTTCCTGAGCAATAATGTCAGAACCATTAAGGAATAGATTGTCCCCTTTTCAAAGACTCATTTCAAAGACTCTCATCAAAGAACTCTTTTTCTAATCTAAAAGTGTTAATTTATGGTTACGTTGGTCAAAGAAATTTTAACAACTGATTTTATTGTTTATATTTTACTTAATAATTGGCTCCTATACAGAATCCGTCTGCCCTCTGTTATACCACTACTAAAAACATACGTTTTATAGACTTGCTGCATAGAGAACCCAGAGGGATTGTCTTAAATCTGCCCATAAAACGTTAATGTTTTTATTTCTGTAAGGTAATAATTATTAACAGTTATGGGAAATGGTAAATTGTATCTGCAAGTCTTTTCTGCAAAGTCTTCCCATGTTACCACGTAATTCTCTTTAAATAAATAATAAAAAATAAATGATATAATAGAAGGCTTAGTTAACTGTGACACAGTAATTTACCTTTGTAGCAGAGTCACTATTCCGCAGTGCTCCATTTGGTGGAAGTCCTTGCTTTTGATAAGTTCACAGGGGAAAAAATATCAATTTTTAGCTTAATATAGATGGTGGTTCATAAGGCAGTGGTTATAACAGAAAGACAAACTGTTTTTTTCTATCCTAGCCGCAGTTCGTCACAGAACATGAGAGGCCAGATCCAAAGTTTACATGAAATTGGAGGAAATATAGGTAGGTCTCATTTCTGAAAATTCAATTCTGAATGTCCTTAGCCTCCTAAAACACCTCAGGGCAGTGCTGTTTTCACACAGCTGGCTCTCTCCTACCTTCCAGTCCATCTGCAGGAAAGGAGTCTGACCCAAAAGCTGTTAAAATCAATGTAACGATTCCTTCCGACTCCAGCATGACTGAAGGGGCACCGCACAAGAGATGGTGACCTGATGGCTGGATCTCAGTAGGACTCATGACAGTCTTGCCAAATTCATCTGACCTTTCGCTTACCTCTCTCACTCTCATAATTGAGCATTTTTTCATGGTTAAGAGATCCTTAGCCCTCCTCTTGCGAGCACATTCCACCTCGCTGTCAAGCCTCTTCCCAAGACCTATTTCTTCCTTACTGTATTTAAGTGTTAACCTCCTCCAAATAAAAAACACAGAATTGAGAATTCAGCCCCTGCATGTATGGGTATACTATACTCATACTAATCTATAATCTAATACTAATACTATTTAGATTGTAAATCCCTTGTAGTAGGGATTTTGTCATCTTCTGTGTTTTGTGCTGTGACATTTTTGTAATAATGACAGTGGCTTGCCACACAAGTTCCTGGCCTAAAGGTCAAAAACTGGATTTTAATTTGATATTACACAGTCCTGATTCTCTCCTTTCTCTATTCATACTAAAATTCTTCATACCATGTTGGAGTCTTTTGTCAACTGTCTGATTAGATTATTCCTTAATTCTTCTAGATTCAGCTCTAAACTGTTTCTATAAAGTTTCTACAAAAAAACCCTGTTTCTACAAAACATCACAGACTTGCTTCAGCAGCAGTCAAGAAGCAAAGTCTTCATTACTGAAGATACGCTCATACAAAGCTAAATTTGATTAGTGATTTGTTTTGGCTGGCTAAAAGGATGACCAGCCGCTGTTAAAACAGGACAAGATCCTTGTGAAACAATTCTGAGTATTCCCACCACGCTCTTTCAAAAATCTGGACATTTAATTTGCATCTTCATTTAAAATTATTTTTATAGTCCTAGATCTTTCAGGGTACCTTAGTCCACTGATCATGCATTAATTCATTTATATTGCTTTCACTTGAATAAAATCATTAGGACCCCAGTGACCTTACAAGTAACTGTAGAAAAATTTTACCATAATCCTTTGTGTCACAGCAATGTAAGCTCACCAGTTAAATGGCTTCATCACCCAGTGTAAATATAATATAGTCCAACAAATCAACTTCACTCAAAAATTTATTTGCCTTATTGCTCAATTAAGAGGCATCAAATGCCTCTTTCTGTGGCAAAGGCAGAAGGGATCCCCAGCCACCCAACTCCTAGCCCCAGTCACCACCTAACAAAACCCTCAAACAGTCAGACTTCAGAGGACTCTTTTTTTTTTAACCAGAAAAAATTGCCAAAAACCTTGATATAGTCCCTATATTTCTTTGCAAGATCCTAGCTGGATAGGAACACGTGGTTTATAGAGCTACTTTTTCAGCATTTAAAAATAGTGTAGAAACGAAGTCACAGAGTTGTAACTCCAGCCCAGTAAATCCAAAGAAATAAAAAAAACCATACTGTGGCACTTACAGTAACAGTGTTGTTAATGCTTCTAAAGAAACCGTAATATTTGTTCACCATTTGACTAAATACCTTGTCTGTAAGTCAGTGTAACGCAGGACATCCTGCCTGGAAGTGAAAGTGAATTCATGACTCTCACGGAGTAAAATCACTGGCAAATTTACCAAAGCCCCTGTCTGTATCCAGGCAAGATGTCAGCTGGACACACCAAACTAGGCTCGCTACGTGCAAGTCGGAGATACATTCAAGGACATTTTAACACAGCTCTGTCCCATTTACTAATGTGCTCAAAACATCCTGTGATTCATGGCTGTCGATTTCTGTTTCAGGTCAGCACTGTTTGGATCCGGATGCATACATGTTAGATGTTTACCGTGCAAATCCTCAGGCAGAATGGGTGATAAAACCAAAAGCAAGCTGAAGCAGAAGGCTGCCGCGTGCAGGACAAAAGCCAAATGGAAAACAGTGATGCCTGTCATTTTAAGAAGCTCTTGGCAGAGACGGAACAAAATGGTAGCTACAGGATATCATTCCTTCCTACTGTACCGTCCAACTGATGTTCACCATGTACTACTTTTGGTATAAGCATTATCACTCCAGCTTCTGGACCATCTGAAAATACCACATCAGTTACGTTTTCATGTGGATTACACTTGTGCCAGTTGGACCAGGAGTTAAGGAGGACAGACCAAGGTACGGAGGCACAGAAAACAACCTGTTGCATACGGAGTTGTTCGTTTCCTGACCTGGTATTAGAACATTAATTTTTGGAAAGGAGAGAATCCAGTGGCATCCACGGATGCATGAAACACTACCAACTACAGCATAACACAGAAGAATCACAGAGACATTCAAGAAGAGAAGGTATCTGTCAAGCGTGGAAGAGAGGAGCTTGACCTGCAGCGGTGCCAAGACGTAGCTGTGTGACAAAATCAAACTTTTCTGCTAGAATTAAACCTGTACAGTGTGCATTACTGCAATATTTATGTCTCTCAGTCACTCCTCATGAGTACCTGATGCTGGGGGAGGGAGGGAGGCAGGAGGAAGAACTACTGTATAGACAGCTATACTGCTTTATGTATGTACCACTGTATATATTACTACCAGTCTTCCAAAATCGTCTGTCTGGATCACGTTACTGTATGCAATTGTAGCGCCACAAACCATTTCCTCTTTCCTTCCCCTGTCACACACACAAGCTTCGGAAGACAAAGGCTAGGTGAGAAGGGGCATATTCCCCTGGCTCCATCTTTTACTTGATACTCTCAGATTTAAGTCTGTGTAATACCATGATATATGTGTTAATGGTGCCACTTACAGCCATCACCTTTTTTGTTAAACATTATAGTTTCTTAATTTGTAACCTAATTCTTTTTCTTTTGTTTATTTTAGCTTTCATATGTAAGCAACTTTTATACTATTCAGCTGCATTAAGAAGAGGGATTTTTGTCCAGATCTTGTATAATACAGCATGGAGAAGAAAAAGAGCTTCCAATGAGCAAAGGGATTTAATACTCTTATTTAACATTTACACATTAGGGCCTTAAAACCATAGCCAAACTAGGCCCAGTTGTGCTGGGGGTTTTACAAATACATAGCAAATTGCAGCTCCTTTTACAGGTGGCATGCAGCCTATGAACACTCACAGGCTAGCAAGAGAATGGTGGGCTGCAACTGCATTGGGAATGCAGCACAGCAAACGTTAGACAGTATGTCTAGTTTGTAGCCAGTCACAAGGGTGAGCACCATTCCTCAGCTGATCCTCTGGTTTTGGGCTATACTTACAGAACTAGGGCATGTTTGTTGAGTATGGAAATCACAAGTCTCTGGAAAACGGCAAGTATTTTTTTCATCTTTGTCTTATACAAAAAATGGGAACTAACATCTTCAACTGCACTGCAATGTCTCCGTCATTGGATGACGATATTGCACAATGAATTCACCCACAGTCTGAGCAGTGGGTTTTGTTCCTGATCTAGAGACACAGAGAGGCAGAAGCTGGTGCTCTGTTTACCAGGTAGCAGTGTAAAAGCGTTCTGAACCAAGTCCTCCAAGTGAAGACAAAGTACGCTGTCCTGCAGAGAAACCTGTAATTTGTGATGCTCTGCTGAAGCTGTGCGATGAAGATTTTCACATTCTAGAAACCCACTTCTGGTTCAAAGTTAATTGTGTTCTCCAGTATCTAACTTTCATTGTTAGCGTTCAGTAAAAGAAATCAACATTGAATCAGTAATTTTACCAGCAACAAAAATGTCTACAGAGGGCAGATCCCATCTGTCTTTCTTACCTTCTTGAGATAAAAAATGGTAACATTTAGCAACATTATTCTTTCATTTTCTTTAAAACAGTGAAATTTTTAACTTCCAATTTTTTTTTCTTAACACTAATGGATGCACAGTTGCAGCCAGGTTAAGACCAGGACAGTTGTATTATAAAATACACTGCTTATTTTGACAACTATTTATTTTAAGTATATGAGAGATCTGTGGTTTGTTCATAGGACTAAGCATAAACGTTTTGTCAAGTGCTTTGGTTCCTGATTCTGTTTAGTTCCCTCTGTAGCAACAGACAACTCTTTCTGCTACGCTGCCCTTTTCTTTTAGCTGTAAAACAGGACTACTACTTTCCTTATAAAGGTAACATGAGAATTAGTTGAGTTAAATTCTGCTCTCAGATGCAGCCAAACAATTCCCCAAGCAGAACAGGAGTTATAAACATCCATCTAGGAAGGACAAACTCAGCAAAGGGATTTTACATGCAAAGTGCTTTGAATACAAAGAGCATCACATAAATGCTAAGCATCATTGTATTTATAGCCAACGAAAGAGCTTTTATGACTATACAGAAAGCCTAAACATTAACTAAAGAATTTGAAATGTCATAGCAAATGAGATAACTTTCTACAGTACTTTCAAATACATTGACCTCCTCTGTCTTGCCCACTCACTTCACTCTGTGTTCTCAATGGCTGTGCAAGGGAAAGTACAGAGCACCCCTGTGCTCACACTGTAACTTGCTCAGCATGTTCTGGACCCTGAAGTGAGGGCCTAATCAAAATTATTTCTGAAATAAATCTCACTGTATTCCATATAGGATAGAAGGTGTTTTTGGAAGACTTTCACCTTCTACCACTTTGCAACTTAGGAAAGCCAAATCTGACGTAATTAAATCCATCCTGTAAACACCTGTTTTATACTAAAACTGCCTATAACGTTATAAGACATGCATATTAGCAGATGAACTAGATTTCTACGTACAGTGCCCAGACTACTACAGCATGGCCAAATACCTGCTGTCTCTAAAACAGAATGGCAAAATTCTTTTTTGATACAAATGGGCCTAATGACCCATGAGTACTGTGGTTAATACTGTTACACATTAAATTGTTTTGTGTTGTAGTGGTACACTAACTTGATTTAATATGCAGCAGACAAACTGAACAATCTCTACAACAGTTTTGAATATGAGGTCCCAACTTTAGGCCTTATATTTCAAAATGCTGGTGGAGGTACCTGGAATTTTGTTCCTCCTAACAGCAGTTGAAGTCAAAACCAAGTTATGATAGGATTGTCACCTAACAAAAACCAACATATGTGGAAAGCTATTAGTAAGGAAGTGGTAGCAAGCAGGGAGAAACTTATTCAGCAAACTCCAAAGATGCCTCAAGCATTTACATACTCCATGGTTCTACAAAGACAGCATTTTGCATATCAACACAGAGAGAGAGAGAAAGTGCATTGCAAGAAGTAGGTATTGGAAACAGATTGGAATGCTCTAACCTGTTTATGCAGCTAATGTCATCAGAATGTGTGTGTGTGTGTGCAAATGTGTCTATGTCTATGTATAATATTAACTACCTCACACTGCATTTTCCAGGAAAAATTTTGGCTTAGAGGCTTAGTATTACAAGACTTTCTATTATTAACTTCACCTCTCCACTAGTCTCTCGCATTGATAAAATGTTTCTCCTTCTACGGGGCAAAATTTGGAAATTACCAAAAAATATATATTAAAAGATGTATTTCAGGATATGGATGAAATTTTGTCCAAAGCATGTTGCCTCAATTACTCTGTGTAATGTGAACCTTATGAGATCAGATCCTGGGGTTAATAGATAACAAATACAAACATCCTGTGTTTCATTTTTTATTTTTCAATAGGTTTCCATTAATGTGTGTCTTCTCTGGAAAATAATACAATGCCACTAATCAACACAAAATGTTTGTATGTACGTTTCCCTTACAATCCTCATTATGTTATGTGTTTTGTTGAAGTAAGCCCCCGCGTAAGTGTATTTGTACAGCAGAATGTGTCCATTGTATTGTATCCATGTTAAAAATAAAAACAATACCAACAGAGAAAGCTCTTCAAATCTAAACACATGGTTTTCAGATAGAAGCAGGTGACAGAAATTACAAAAAGCAGTGGTGAATTTGTCTTAAAAGCAACTCCATTGTTATAGCACCTGACCAGCTAGCTACACAAAGGACCACATTCTGCCATCCTTACTCAAGTGGAGCAGTTCTTTGCTCCAGGAGCTCTTCTCTTGAACTACCTCGATGCAAGGTACAAAATGATACTGCTTGGAATCCTACCTCATTGAAATCAATGACAAACTACTTTGGGATTTCATTTGAGCCAGTATTTTTTAAACTAGTGTGAAATACATAGAGCAAAACTGACTTTAGAACGAATTGTAAAAATGCATATTAAAAGCCAAACAAAATTGTAAGGACCAAGCAAAAATACTGCTAGTTCAAAAAGAAAAAAGGAGGTGGAAGTGACTTGTAAAGAACTATGTTTATTATAGATGCATCTTCAAGTACGAGACATGGTTGTCACTGCTCAATGATCTGGCCAGTTGATGAATGGATGTCCTTACTTAAGTCAGATCAAGTGCGTGTCCCCCAAACCTGGCGCAAGCGCAACTACTGGAAGCCTCATCTTAGAAACAGAGGCAGGCACAGTAGAAAAAGGTAAAGACAGAACTGCTGACTGGCCTGTGAATTAGGAATCACAGAGCACCAAAGGTGCTTCCCTGTGTCCTGTAAGAAATACCGTTTTCCCAAGAAAGATGCATTAGTTCTCATTGCCATAATACACAGTTGTTCCCAAGCCAGACCCAAATCATTTCTTCAGCAACACAACATTTCATATGCGTCTCTGTGCTGTGGAGTTGCTGCTTGTCCTGCAGCTGATTACAGGAAAGCATACACAGGAACATAATCCTCCTAGACAATGTGGCTATAATGGGGGTCAGAAGCACTGGGTATTACGGCAGAAGGAAAAGGGATTGGAGCTACCATGTAAAGTATAAATAAGAAAATTCTATGCATTAGACTCTGAATCTGAGACCTTTAAAATTATGCCTTTAGTCTCCTGCTCCCTCTGCTGGACTCTATCCACTTGTACTTTTCACTT